TCAGTGCAGTTCCAAAGGGTTAATATATATATATGTATACACACAACAACAAGGTGGTCAGTTTCATAACACTAAAAGCTTTTCACCCATTTTCATCAGTAGATACATGGGAATGAGCAAGAACGAAAACGAAGCCAGAATTTATACTGGGGGTAGAGAATCAGCAAGAATATTCTTACGCGCCTCAAGTTCACACTACACTACCATAAGAATGTGTGGAGCAGTGGAAAAATGCGGGAAACAACACATGAGGGGAATGCAGTACCAGAACAAACACGTGATTATGCTAACTAATATTGAAAAAGACGTACTGTGCAGGGGCTTGAAGTTTGGAGTCCCCCCCAGTTCCAGAATGGACAAGGAGATTGTGCAGGCAGAATTCGAACTAACAAATGATCAATTGGAGCGCTGCGTACCAGTAAGTGATGCCAAGAGGGATACGTGTCAAGCAGCGTTGGCGAATCTTGCAGAAGAGTTTAGTAACAGTAAAGCAGATAAAACCGATTATCCCCTCAACGACAAGCATATGGCAGCCATCAGGAAAATAAAGAATGACAAAGATATAATAATCAGCAGGCCGGACAAAGGGAATGGAGTGGTGATAATGCAGCGAAGTTATTACAATGACAAGATGAATGCTATTCTGGCTGATGCATCGAAGTTTCAACTCCTGGGACCGACGGAAACGCATGACCGCACTTACCTGGATGAACGCGCCTTGCAGGCATACCTATTGCGATACAAAAAGGCTGGAAAAATACTCAATATAGATTACGACCGGATCCGACCCGTTGGCTCGTGCCGACCTGTGCTCTATGGCGTACCGAAAATACATAAGAAAGACGTGCCACTTCGACCAATCCTGTCCATGATCAATGCTCCCCAACACGAAATGGCCAAGTGGTTAGCTGAATTACTAAAACCAGTCCTGAACAAATATTCCGCCCACGCAACTAAGGATACATTCGAGTTCGTGGATGATGTACGGGAATTTGGCCAGCAGCAGGCAGAGAACTCTGGATCGCTGTTCCTGTGCTCTTTCGATGTAGTCAGCCTCTTTACAAACGTACCTCTCAAGGAAACAATAGATATCTGCATACGTAGGAGTCAGTATAGAGTCCATGCACTATATGATGATGACCCCTCCTTGTTGTCTCACTTCCAGCTACCCTCTTCCCAAAGCAGTCGTCACCCTTCATCCATAATTCTTCCTAAAGCTGGCGCCTACTTTCGTAAATCAACCCTCTTTTCTTTGAGTGTTGCCTGGAATAAACTTCCTGAAGATATTCGTTCACTCTCTACGACAGCGAAATTTAGTATTGCTGTTCGTCGGTATCATTCGCAATCTATGTTTTCTTTGAAAGGTATTCCTGACTTTTGTGTCTAGGCTAACCACATCTATGATAGTTTCAATAGTTTGTGTATATGTCAGTTATAGTAGTCCGCAATGTTGCTTTTCTAATTCTCACTATGATTAGCATGCAATGTACTACCCGAAGTACTGAATTTACTTCTTTTGTACTAATGTATCTTCTACTTATTCTCCCTTACGAACATACTTTCTCATTTTCCATACTTACTTAGGAGACTCCCTTCTATAGGCATCTATTTAATTGCCTCTGGAGGATCCGTGAAATAAAAATCAATCAATCAAAAAATGATGTCCAGCACCCTATATAGAGTCCATTGGTCCAAATCCACTATACAGAGTCCAGGAGTCCACTCAGTTTTGATCAGCTTCATCATATCCTGCCGCGCAATCCCCTATAAGGAGTACCCTTTTTCCACAAGTCCCCTATTCACAGTCCAGGAGTCCTGTTTATCCAGTCACGCCGTTCTGTGTGTACGTGTTGTGCCCGAAAGAGAACAAGCACATTTTCAGTTTTGCTTGCCTCGTGGCAGCGCATTCCTTTCTTCACTTCAGCCATGGCTAGCTGCCAGTTCTGCTGTGCAGTTGCTGACAGTAATCTGCCTCTAGGTAACCAAGGAGGATAAGGACACGTTCAAAATCAAATCTGGAAAGCGTCTTGTGGTTCTCTGAAGACGTTTCATCAGTGCGCGGGATGAAAACAGAAATTGCAGAACGAGAAAAGTTCAGCACAGTTCAAATCTGACGAGTCAGGTACACTGACACTCTCTTTCGTTCGACGCCACAAGGATTCCCTGTTTGGCTGGCCATTGCTGCCAGTAAGACGTTTGAACGGTTTCATCAGAGCGAGGGATGAAAGCAGAAACGGAGAAAGAGAAATGTTCAGCACAGTTCCAATTTGACGAGTCAGATACACTGACACTCTCTTTCGTTCGACGCCACAAGGATACCCCTGTTTGACTGGACAAGAGCTGCCTGTACCACCGTGTCAAAAGGCTGTCCAACTACATGGCAGGACGAAGACTGAGGTAAGGAAGCTTTTACTCGTTTCGATTGGTCTGCTGTTCTGTCGTTATGCTTGAATTTTTTTCCATTTTCAAGGAGCGTATCGCGTTTGTTTGATGTTGCTTGAATGAATGCCCTAAAAGTAATCAACCACTTCGTAATAGTCTTCAAGGACTGCAAGGACTTTGCACCAATCGTATACGATCGTCTAGCAATCATCAATTATTATAATTATTTCATGAGAAATGTATTTTTATCCCTGTGTTAATTATGTGAAACTCCACGACACTCTTCCTCTAGTATGATGTCAAATACAATGGGATTCACAAACGCAGTGCCAGTGTACTAGTAGTAGTAGGAGGATTGCTTGTTTGCCAATGACAAGAAAAAGCTTCTCAAGCTAATACTCGTATTCCCTGAAGTAACCGTTTTGATGTCACGCACATGACATTGTGATGTTGGTGTGCCCTGTGCGTCTTGAGTGTGCACAAACGATCTTATTCCTCGTATTACTAATAGATTATTGTTCCCACCATCACCTGTTCACAGGTCTTTGAGTGGATTGATTTTCATTGAGCATCACATTCGTTGAGAACTTGGTTGTTGTGTGCTCCCATGCATCATTACGGTAATAAGCGTATCCGTGTGCTGCCTATTTGTTGCAGGTGTGCTGATCTTCAGAAGCTTGCGGAACTGTGTGCTGCTGAACATTTGTATGGCCATGAGCAAGGGTGAAGCTTGCTATTGCACTCTCAGCATGTGCTAGTATTATGCTGACCACTGCACTATGTTACTCTCTTACACTACTACGTGTATGTAAACGTGCATGTACCCGTCCCTGTATGCATTCGTTTCGTATAATATTTCTTATCCCTCTTGACTTTACGTGTAAATGGGTGGACGTTTGTACGGCTGTTGGAGTTGCGCGTGTATTGTGTCTCTACTCTTTTCTTGGTGTTTTCTTGGCGCTGTGTAAGTTTGTGTGTGTGTGTGTGTGTGCCCGCGCGTGCGCGCGCGCGCAATAATTTGAAAACAAATAATTAATCCTGGGCTCTCCATTATTCTCTTTCGATTCTTTTTTTTCTAGGTATTTTCTTGGCGTTGTGTGGGTGTGTGCATGTGTGTGTGCGTGCACAATAATTTGGCAACACTACATGATTGAGATATTTTAATTTGCAGCGTCTGCGAAGAGACCACTTGATTTGAGGATGCTGTTTGTAGGCTTTTTCATGTAATGAAGTGGCTGCAGCGGCGCCTCAATACATATTTTTTCTTGAGAAGTGAATGATGTAAAGGATTAAAGGGAGAGGCCGTTCTCTGGTTAATATTCACTGCTTACAGCAGATCCTATGTCTAATTTCGAACTCCTTAGGGGATGCTTAATTGGCTGGACTTTATACAGAGTGTTGTCCACATAAAGAATCTTTAATCTTTATAGTTGATTTCAAAGTTTGGACTCCGTACAGTTGATTTTGGACCAATGGACTCTATATAGGGGTGAAGCCAATTGGCTGGACTCTATACAGGGAGTGATGTCCATCTAAACTTTGAGCTCACAGTTGATTCCAAGTTTGGACTCTGTACAGTGGATTTTGAACCAATGGACTCTATATAGGGGTTGGACATCATATAGGGGCTGGACGCTCTACTGAGTCCAACATATATGAACTGTCTCACAAAATATGCGGAAATATGCACAAGCATATTTGGTCGAGGCCTCCAACCAGTTTATGGTTGTAGTCAGGAGCACTACCCGTCCTCGCCTTGTAACATGCTGTCAAAATAAAAAAACGTATTAAACTACCCAGCAAGGCTTCTGTGTATATACTTGGTACAATAGCGGAGTCCTCCGGATCGATAGAGTGCTCAGTGCGGAAGCAGAGCAGTAACACACGAGTCACAGGAAAACCACGCGTCCTGATTGTCGTAACTTAAAGTTTCATGCCATATAGCAATCTTCAGTTGTCTGAAGATTCCTATATGGCATGAAACTTTAAGTTACGACAATCAAGACGCGTGGTTTTCCTGTGACTCGTGTACTTGGTAGAATATGTATGCGTGCTAAGTGTATCTAGGGAAGGCATGCAGCACAGGGAGATAGTGCGAGTTCGAACCTAGGTTATGCGTTTAAAAGATAGAATAAACGAAATAAGCTACTGTCATATCAAACTTGATACGAGAGGGCTTCTGCATTCGTGATAGTTGCTAATAGTAACGAGAGTGCTCGAAAGCTCAGGGGCCAGGGCCCACACCATGTTTTTCTGCCTAAATCATCATGCATGTTATTCGAGCTGATGGAAACAACCATCGGCTAAATCATTGTATTGCCAAGAGGCATCCATCGATTCGAATACCATTCATGAAGACCTAGGCCAAAAATATTGGAAGGGCCCTGATATTTCAAGCTCTCTCCTTTTGCCAGCATCTTCAACTTGGAGTCATGTTGCTGGTGTGATGCGGTCGCCCAGACAGCGCATCTAGTGGAGGTGGATTTGCTTTAAGGTCCATAGCCTCATCAAAGTAATACCGGTAATTTTCGTTTTTTTCCCAACACCGAGACCACTCTAACATCCATCACACTTTTTGTCATGTTGCTCACACTTTCGGCTCGTGATATAGAAGGCGTAGTCACACTGACTTTTTTTGTAATTTTCACTCAAACGTTGTGTACGTGGCTATCAAGATAATACAAAAGAGCAATTTTCACCAAAAAATATTTTTTGGGAAGTTTACCTGTAGGTCTATCTTGCTGATCAGGGGTCCAATTATGAAGCCCACTGAGAGAAAGAGACTCTGATATCACAGATAGATAGATGGATGTGGAGTTAGTCCACTTTCAGGAATTTACCTAGAAACGTTGTGATAATAATAAGCATAACATACTTTGGTGGAAAGCCGAGGATAAATTTGAAGAAAAATAGAAGAAGAGCAACAAGCTTCGCAGTAATGTCCACGGGCACCACCAGGTACTTGACAATCAGGTCATGCAATAACATTGCACATCACTGAACTGTACTAACGTTCCACAACCTGCCAATTAGCTCTAGAACGTCTTGAATTCACACTCTAACAGCTTTCCAACTTGGAAGGTTACAACGACATTGAACTTTCCATTGTTGAAATGCTGTTATAGTGCGCATCTAAGATGCGCTAGAGCTGTGTGGCAGTTAGCTATAGAACTTCACTACTGTTGATCAGAGTTGTGCAATGTTACTCGTGAGATTATTGCCAAGTAACTAGCGATGTTTAGCGGACATCATAGTGATGATAACCGGGGTGTGTGCGTGTGTGTGTGGGGGGGGGGGGGGGAGGGGGGGGGATGAACAATGGATGAAGAAAAACATGACGGAACAATATCAGCTAGGTGTGATTCAGATAGTATTCCTGCAGCTGTAGGTACCTAAAGGAACAGAACGTCGATTGTGCAGGTGTCCAGTTGCAGCGAGCAAAGAAAATGAAAATAATAACAGTTCGAGTTGCTTTCCATTGGCCGCTTGGTTGGCTTGCCGGATAACAATCCATAAAACATCCATGTCTTGCCGTTTCAAACACCATTCATATGGAGCTTGTCCAGAATTAATGTTTCTGTTGATACATTTTCCAATAATTCGTATTCAATGTCTCTGCCCCCGCTCCCTTTCAGAATCACAGTTGCCGTAAATATGTTTGCCGATCATTCGTAGAAAATGTCTGTGCCTCCACTCCCTTCCTGGGCCGCATCATTCGCTTCGTACACTTGATCGTCAGGCTTGTCCGAGGCCACTTCGCCGTAAAGCGATTCTTCATTAGGGATCATTTCGCTGTTCGCGGGCAAATGACCATTGGGATTTCTTTGACCGGCTTCAATCAAAGCACTTCCAATATCAGCTTGGCTCATTGGCCTGGTAACGTTGATTTGGTCTACTCCAGCCTCTTGCATGTATACAGTGTCAACATGCTGTGTGCTGTGTTGCGTAGGCGCTTCAGCCACTTCGGACAACTCATCACACAGAACTTCACCGTAAAGCGAACCAACGCTGGAAGTGATTGTCAATTGTGATTTTCTCGAGTGAGGCAATGTTGCACTGGTGGCATCCTCATAATTGCTGCTGTTTTGATCCGCCGTGAATCCGGCTGCCGTAGGATTTATTGTACTCGCTATGCTGGCTAGATGGCTGGCTTGAGAGCCCTGGGCCTGATAAGTTGTGTTGTCATCAGAACCAGTCTCATACACACTGTATGTAGTTTCGCGTACTTTGCCCGGTATTTCTCCAACTCCATCGACATCAAATCTGTCCTCAACCACGTCACGGTATAATGACTCGTCTGATAATGTGGCTTCAATTTCTGGCAGGCGCGCATCAGGAGTGGCTATGTTGACGGCCACGTCGCTGGAGTGGTGCATAGCACCTTCGGAAAGTTGAAAGGCACATTCGTTTTGGTTCACAGATGCACTAAGCCCACCTACTGGCATGCACTCGTATGTACAATCTTCGTTGTCATGATCATCACCACTGAGATTATTTTCATCCACTGAGGTAAACAACTTCTCGTTGCTTCTAGCTTTCTTCAGGCTGTATGCGGCACATTTGTTTTGGTTCACAGATGCACTAAGTCCACCTACTGGCATGCACTCGTATATACCATCTTCGTTGCCATAATCATCACCACTGAGACTATTTTCATCCACTGAGGTAAACAACTTCTCGTTGCTTCTAGCTTTCTTCAGGCTGTATGCTACAGTTTCATCTAGTTCATAAGCATCAAACACAGTCTCCTCATTGATTGGGTCTGTAGCACCAGACACATATGGATTTTCTGGTTGGTTACTCGCCGTCGGTTCATTGCTGTAGGTCTTGATGTTGTCGGCAGTACTGCTGTCTGCTCCGAGCATGGTGGTGTTGGTGTAGGCTTCCTGTGGCGCCTTGCTGTCCTTTGCAGTGGATGGTGGACCAGAGTAACCTGGAGTGACAAGCTCAATGCTGATCTTCTGCTTCTCCTTGTTCATGTACTGAGCAGTGTCATATTCAGATGAAGCCCCCCAAAGACGCCTTACTTTTTCGCCAGTTCTTGTCGTGAGATCTAAGAAAAATGAATAGAAATCCCAGACAACAATGTTAGAGTCAGACCGGACCGAGAAAGTCAATTCACCTAATTGTGCCTTCTGTTTTTCTGGTGCATGCTGCAATCCGCAAGATATGAACTGGGAATGCTAACCTTTTCAGCACTGTTAGTTACCTAGAAAGTGTTTCATTTTTAGAAGTTATGCTTGATAAGAAGAGCCCAGGAAGTATTTGAAGGAAAGAAGAAAGATCAAGGAACTACAACTTACTCTATGCTGACCACTAGAGCCACCAATCACTGGGCAATTAGCTCATGTGATAACATTGCAGGACACTCGCCCACCGTACCCACATTATAAAACTAACTGCCAATCAGCTCTACTAGCCTCTAGCACATCTTGGATGCGCACTCAAAATGCATTCGAACTTGGAAGGGTCTGAGTAATAGTACTAGCATAGAAGGGAAAGGTGCACGCAACCCAGTCAAGAACGGGCTGAACATCTTTGTATCAAATGCCGCAAAGGTTTTGTGGTATGTTGCTATGCGTCCGTGAATCATGGTCTGAGGGTATTGCCGAATGATCTTGCCAGTATCAACATCGACATACATGTACATTCACCAACGTTCTCCACAGCTGAGACGTTCAGTTTTTGCTTGTCTGGGTTGCGCACAACTTCCCCTCCTATGTTAGTACATTACTTGACCTTGGGACCTTCCAAATTTTATAGTAGTTTGAGGATGCGTCCAAGACATGCTAGAGCTGATTGGCAGTTATTTCCATAAGCTATTGCAAAAGCTGATTGTTCAGCAACTGGTGGTGGTGGTGGTGGTGGTGGTGGTGGAAAGTAGCGGAACTTGTAGTTCCTTGGTCCTTTTTCTCTCCTGTAATGTAAAATCTATCTATTTCGCAAATTGTATTTGACTATTAAATTTTGCATCTGCCCGATGTTATCTTCATACATGCGGAAAAACTGCCTTTGTCATGGATTGTAACATGGAAGTTGGGCTTTCTTACTTTGCATCTGTTCGCTAACATCGACGCCAGCACGAGTTGCGTAAACTGTAACAAGACAGAAGCAAAAATGCGAAAGGTTAAGTTATAATGCTTCAAAAATAATAGCCAATTTATTAAGCATACTTCCTCAGAGTGACACATCAAGGCATTGAACAATTTTTAAACACTAGCTTCATTTTACTTTAGTGATTTCAATTCAGTGGCACTGTTGATATGCCTTCGGATGAAACCTTCTCATCTCGTGCTCACTTGTGAATGATGGTTTCAATGGGAACCTTTTCTGAATTCTCTGTACACAGCCTTTTGCAGAAATCGCAAACGAGAATTACAACTCTATCAGACTAACGAATGTTTTCTTCTATCTCACATACAGCAGGCTACAGATAATAGCTAATGAGTTTTGCAACCCGAGCAGTAGCAGAATTGTTTCTGCATCCCCAGACTAATGCTTCCCTGACATAAAGGATATAGTATCTTACTCGAAAACTGGTCCATTGCATTCTGCTTTGATTGTACAAGCTGTTCTTTTACGGTTTGCATTTGTCCTTTCGCTGTCTCTAGCTTTATCTTGGCAGTCTTCAGCTTTTCAGGCCGATAGCGTTGCAAAACGAGTAGTATAAGAACAGCACCAGCAAGCAGAAGACCTATGCCAACTGACACACCCACTGTAAAAGCCGAACCGCTGGGCCCTGATTCTCCTGAATCTGCTGACATCACTACAGCAAACAACAGAAAAGTCAAAACAAAAATACAGGAATTCTGCTTGCAATCAAGGCCTGGTTCTCACTGTTCCTATATCAGACCACTGTACTCGGCCTGCCTGTACTTTTAGTTCTCTTTAGTATTGCTCAATCCAATGAGCAGCGTCAGCAGAGTTAGAACATTCACAATGAAAATCCTACTAAAAAAATGTTCCCTGTTGGACTGGACAGTGGGTCACCTGGTGGCTCATTCTTACTATGAGAGGAATGTCTTCATAGCTTATTTTTACCTTTTTACGTCCTATTTTAGATTTTAGAGTCGCCCTTGTGATTATGAGCGCCTCCTTCATGTAGAATGCTAGTCTTGAGCAGTCAGTTGCTGTAGGATAATAGAGTGCATAGAGTTCTGCAATATTTCCTTGAAGCGACCCACCAGGAAACGTATCTGCATACTTGTAGACAGAATGTTCAAGAGCCTGAAGGTTATCCTAATTCTAATTATAACTACATATTTGGGTGCCCACAGATATTTTTCCAGCTTCCCAGCATGAGTGTTTCTCAAGGATAGCATTTGCCGAGACGAGGTAATAAAATCTATTTCCATACGTTTGCCCGCTCAAGATCAGAATAAGGGTGATACCTAATTGTTTGAACTGAATGTGGGGTCGCTAAACTACCCCAGTTAGACATGAACCCACATTGCAAACACAATGGTGAACTTACCTTGACAAAATGGCAGGGGTGCAGACCAGTTTCCATGCTCCGTGCATACACTGATATCAGAACCATTCATTCGAAATCCTTTTCGACAGGAGTATAGAACTTCATCCCCGTAAAGCAAACCATCCAGTTCCCTAGTGCCATTAGCTGGTGTTCCTGGATCTTGACATTCGTTTACTGCGAGAGAAAAAGAAAAAGACAAAATTTAGGCTGGCATTTGAGTATCATGGAGGAAAGCTGCATTACATATCAATAATTGTGTCAAGAACTCTTTGGAAAGAGCAAGTATGAACTGGGATGGAGAGCTAAGGATCAAAAAATGAATCAAGGAACTACAAGTTACACTATAATGTCTACTAACACCACCAGTTACTAAACAATCAGCTCATGTGATAACAATGCACGACTCTGACCGACGGTACTGGCGTTCTACAACTAACTGGCTAACAGCTCTAGCACATCTTCCCCTCCTTATGTTATTTCTATAACCTACAGCAATGAACCGACGACGTGTAAACAACCAGAAAATCCATAATGTGTCTGGTGCTACAGACCCAATCAATGAGGAGACTGTGTTTGATGCCTATGAGCTGTTGGATTGTGCATCCAAGATGTACTAGAGCTGTTAGCCAGTTAGTTGTAAAACGTCAGTACTGTCGGTCAGTGTCATGCAATGTTATTGCATGAGCTGATTGTTTAGTAACTGGTGGTAATAGTAGACATTATAGTGTAACTTGTAGTTCTTTGCTCCATGTTCATTATATAAAGAGAAAATAACATTGGTTACTGATAGTGCAAAAGACTGACATCTAAAAAGCATCCTTTTAAATTGTTTGTTCCAAAACGACATATAGACTAGAGCTTACTTTCACAAGTGGGCTTATCAGGAATCCATGTCTTGTCTCCAGAACAGACCCTAAAGACAGAGCCGTTAATATTGTAGCCAAGGTCACATTTGTATGCAACAGTGCTGAGGTAGGAGTAGCCTTGCAGAAGACGTATGCCATTCTCCGGAGGGCCGGGGTCGGAACAATGCTTGACTAAAATGGTCACACAAAATGGCAAGATAAATCGATGTATAGACGGCCAGGCAAACAGTTAGAAAGTGATTATATTTATTTGAAATTATGCATGAAATGGTAAAAGCAAACAGATTGGTCTAGAGTGCAATGTGGTGGTGTGGTATATTAGAACCCTTGATACCCACCCTTGTTACTCTGAGTTTCTTAGCGATCTGGTTTGGGGTGGAAGGTGCAGTGTTACCAGCTCAATAAGTTTGAGTTTGTATTTGGCCCAAGCTATCTCGTCCTTCCACTAGACCTTTTATTTGCAAGATATTGGCATGCACTTGCTATGAATCTGTTACAGCGTGTCCAGATTCTTTCTCCGTCATTGGAATCAGCCAAAAAGCCAAAAGCTGGTGCTTTTCCTCCAGTTACATGTAGTGAAAAGTAATCTGCCTTATACCTCATTCCATATTCACCCACATACAATTGGCCATCCACATAAGTGGTGAATATTGCTGAATATTCACCGCTTATATTCACCACTTACCTCATATTCACCACTTATATTCACCACTTCTCGATAATTACTGTAAGTGTAAAGAGAGCAGTACTCGGTGCTGCGCTTCACTCCTCTTCAGTCAGCGCACCGGGGCTGCCGAGCGCCCTAGAAAAAATTTCTACGCTAACTTCTGTAAACAGGACTTCTCAGAGTACAAACGAACTTCCTTACTTGCCATTGCCGCTGGATCCGCATGTTACCAGGTGCTGACAGGTCACCGACATACAGTGAGCATCTTCACAGACGGAGCTTTCCAGCAAGCAAACAAGGTTTTGGACGCTCAACATATCAATGGCCTGATGATTGCGGATCAAGTGGCAAGCCATGAATTTCGTTTGTACTCAGAATAGCCCTGTTCACGGACGTTAGCGTAGAATTTTCCTATGGTATACAACAGCTCCGAAGTGCTGCCTGAAAAGAAAAGAAGTGAGGGTAGAACCCCTTGGCTAGCTGTTTATAAACCGACTCCCGAATTGGTGCGACGATCGCGGATTGGTCAAATTTTCGCGTGAAACGAAACCTCTCTCGGATTGGTCAAATCTTCGCGTGAAACGAAACCTCTCTAATGATTGGCTCCCGCCACAAAGCTGCACGAGCGTGTTCTCCATGGTGATTGGCACGAGCGTGTTCTCCAAGGTCGTCACCTCCCATGCCACATGCACCAGTACGTGTAGACGATCGATTGAACAAGATTCTGAACACGCCGCCCTCCGATTCATGCAAGAACATGCCAGTGGGTTTACGATACTGAAGCAACAGCGATACATTAGTTCTGCGTACATGTACATGTATGACCAACCGGACTCGTTTGTGAGGTTTTAGGGATGAGAGGGTGACTATGGAGAGGTATAAGTCTAATATTACCTTCAGCCTCGTGAATATGGGCGAATATTCACTAGTTATACAAACCTCGGCTTCGCCTCGGTTTGTATATTAGTGAATATTCGCCCATATTCACTTCGCCTCGGTTTGTATATTAGTGAATATTCGCCCATATTCACTATACACATAGTGTGCAGGTTTACACTCACCTTCACATTTTGGAAGGTCTGAAGTCCAATTTCCCTCCTCCGTGCAATTGATTGAAGGCGAGCCGATTAGATAGTACCCGGTATCACAGTTATAGTTTGCAGTGCTCTCATAGGTCAAGTCATGTGAGTCCTTAGAGCCATGGTCTGGAGTGCCTGGATCGCGGCATTCAACGACTGTAAAGATCAACCGACAAGCAAAATAATGAATGTGATGTTTACGAAAGACACGAGGGCCGATCTCAGATCAGTATGGTGTTAACGAGGCAGGCAGGCATCGTGGGATGGTCTAAGATCATGATTGAGAAACAGAGGGTGCCAGATTCTAGTCCTCTTAGGAAGCTGCAGGATTTTTTCGAGCCGTGCTGTGACCCATAATTCAATGGGAACTCGTGGTCTGGCACGAGGGAGCGAATTGAAGTCACTACCAGCCATTCAAATATCGATCCACGTGGATCGATGCAGTAGGCAATCACTAAGTATTTCGTCACACGCTCAAATATTGTCGGATCATTACAAATGAGGGCTATACACCTTCAGGAAGACCTTGGCTATCGACTGCAACTATCTATTTCACTTCTTGGTGCATAATTGGCGCACGACAAAGCTCGAAGCTAGTGCGCGATCAAAAATGCGCATTCAATAATTTCGCGTTGCCGTCACGCTGAGAATAACTCTGATTGTAGGCACTTTCCCAAGAACTTCGTCTGGTTTCTGTGAGCCACGATCGGTGAGCCGCTCGTGACAGATCGCGCTGCGCATATTTGTTTGAGTTTGAAAACGTATTCTTCAGCACGGCGCGGCACACACGAATGGCGCTTGGTGCTGTAGATTCTACGAGCGCATAGCTGCCATCAATAGCTTTCCAGGGAGTGGTTGTTTGTGAGGAATGGCCGAAGGAGAGCAGAAATATTACAAAATTTGTATATTAATTTTGTAGACTTTGAATTGACTCAATAGCGAAAACAATGAGTCATGAAAGGGTCAAGAGAATGAACAATGAGCAAGGGGGTGTGTAGATTCACGAAAAAAGCGAACAGCTTCAGAGAGCTTCAATTGCATGGCATAATTGGCACTATACAGCACAGAGAATAGCATATTCTGGTAACCAATGTCCCATTGCGCTTCACTGTTACCAATGTGAGGAGGGAGGGAGAGAAATGACTCTTCCCTTTTCTAGTCACGAATCCGGGATTATAGAATATGTTATTGGTCTGCAACCATTTTTATTGTTATTTTTATTAATTGCAACATGTCAAGACATATACTAATGTGAAGAGGGTGGGTGGCAGCCAACCATGGTGATAAAGATAAGCAGGGGTTATGAGGGAAAATGAAAGGGTTGCAAAAGCAACAGGAACAGCAACTTCGTCCATGGCACATCTGATTCACTGCATGGCGAGTGTCAATACTGCTCAGAGCCACGTTTGCATGTAGCCAAAGATTGTAATGGAGACAGTACATAGAGCATATACGAGCTTGGTCTGTCACGTTCCACAAGGCAAAGGACAAGAAAGAGAGAGAGAGAGAGAGAGAGAGAGAGAGAGATAGAGAGAGAGAGAGGGGAGAGAGAGACAGAGATCCTTGCTCCTTTTAAGGGATTATAAATTGTCATCCGCTGTTGAACTTTATCATTGTAGCCTGGTTAAAAACATAAAAGATAGTACATGTTCATATAATTGAAGCCCACGGTACAAGTCCTCTGTGATCCTCACGCCCAGTTTTATCCAATTTTATCTCAGCAGGACCAAGATCAAAGCCCAGATAACCATTCAGAAAGAAGCAGCACCAAGTAGTGACTTTGAAATATATAAAGTTAAGATCCCTAAACTTACTGTCACATGTTGGTGCAGAGGTCGACCATCGACCAGTCTCATGGCATTCACTATCCTTCGTGCCATTGATCTCATACCCAATGTCACATGAATAATTGACGGTTTTACCATAGGAAAGATCAGTGACCACTCTGGATCCATGTGTTGGCGCTATTGGGTCGGGGCAAGTTAAAACTAAAGAAACAACCAAACGAGCATTGAGAGAATATAAGGTGAAATCTCTGTGAACTCAAATTCTGAGCCAAAGAAATACTTCGATACTAATATTAGAGCAGTGCAACAAAAGGTTACAGCATTGGAGCCCACCAAATATACCACCAATTGAACAGTCAGGAGACATTGCAATAGTCTTGTTTTAAAACGTGAATAAGCGAATTGCCCAGACCATTGGTCAGACCTGGCTCCATAGTGGTGGTAAGTGTATCAGCCAGACGGTCGTGGTTCATCAGCATGATCGGCAGCCATCTCTGCTATGCTTCTACCGCTTTCAATCCTTGCAACACAGTGCAGTTGTTGGATCTCTTTGTCAAGATAATCAAATATGGATTTCACGCTGTTTTCCGTCTACCACCCCACCATCCCCTCTTCTCTGATCTTCTCATCCATGCTGAGATATATTCAAAAACTATTACTTTTTGTTCACAGATGTCTTGGTGGTGAATTGATCATTAGTCTTTTCAAAACTTTCTTTGATTTGGTCAATGGCCGTGTTACGCATGGTCAGGCTTCAAATCCACTGTTCACTTCATTGGTAGTGTGTACTGGAACTGCCTGCCGCGAGATGTACGCTCCATTGCAATTCCTTCTGCAAAGCAATCACAAATGATATCTTAAAACTCTCTTACACTCTCTACACATCTCAAAGCCTCATAACTGTCAACATTCCCTCCACCCTGGAACGTTTGCACCCGCTGCATCATTTTCATGAAACACTTCACCACATTCAAATTTGCTGCTTCAAGTACTCTCTTATTTCTCATTGCACTTTAAATTGGTAGGGTAGATAGTTCCGCGTTCGATATTGAATATTTGTTTTACATATTTTTATTCTAGTCGGTTTGATTTTGATTTTTTACCATATTTTTTATTCTATTTCATATTTTTCATTCGTTTTCGGTTTTATCTATTCACTGTAATAAGATCGCTATATCTCACAGTCAGGATTCATGAGGTTATCACTACCACATTGATTTGTTTCCATCTTCTCTTTGTGCCTGGTTCAAGTCCTGCCTGGGAGCGTTTTTTCCAGCCGTGTTGCTACCAACAGTCAACTGGGAACTTGTGGCCAGGCACAAGGGGTACATGGATGCAGCTAATGGGGTCGTTCTCGGCACTTGTGCCAGTGGTTGTGAGACTTATCTACTCACCCCACCGTTAGGCTCTGCATCTGCCGCAAGGGGTTACGGGGTGTTAGCGGCCGTCGTGAGTTCCCTTCGGGAACGGACACGATAATTTACTTTTTTTCTCTTTGTGCCGTGTTCATGATTGCATTTTCCTCTTTCTCCTTTTCTTATATCACTATCTTCATCATTTTGCAAGAACGATGCCAATACGCACAGTGAGAAGGCCGATTTTGCCTGTGATTATGGCGAAGTAAAATTAACAAAAACAAACATACAAACAAGAACAATTCCCCAATGCCCAGTAACAACAATCCAACTTGGTCAGCTAAATTATATCGAGGATAGAATATAAAAAGAAGAGTAAGAAAATGTGGTCTTTTTTTTGCACTTTCCTTCCCTTCTTGGACCTTTCCTAACGTGAGGCTTCCAGGGTCGTTGGTTTGCGCCTGGGAGAAGTGTTGGAGCCGGGTATCAGGTCATAGAATAGCCCAGTACTCTTTGCCAGTTTTGTGTCTTTTTTTACACTCGCTGACTGTATTATGATCTGGTTACGTTAGCGGACAGTTAGTCATAACTCTCGACATGTTGTCCTTCCTTCCTTTTTTCTTTTCCATAATTGTTGATTGGCAGTTAGCCGTAGAACGTTAGTTGCAGGACCATTCTTCATTGTCATCGTTCAGTGTAGTGCAATGTTGCCATATGCTGATTGTCAAGTAACTGATGGTGCTAGTAGACATTACAGCGGGACTTCTAGTTCCTAGGTCCTTTTATTTGCTAAAATAAAAAAGGTGAAGAAGAAAGTTCCAAAGAGCTACAAGTTACGCTATAATATTATCCACTAACGCCTTTTCTTCTTCATACAAATTAATCCTTGGCTCTCCACCCGAGTCTAACATTTAGAGTTCATTAAAGTTGCATCCTGTGCTGAGCATAATGCGGAGCTAATTCTCTTTTGAGTTCCCACGAGGTGTTAGATACCTGAACGAAATAATATCTCGGATACTGAGCCAATAATTTTTTTAAATATTATTTAATAATATAATTATAATTGAAGAAATCACATGGAAACAAACTATGAAGCAACAATCTACGACTGTAACAATGTAATGTGCAGCCAGAGAGTGTGATAAAAGGGCACAAAACTGATTTGCTACATGGAAACGATAACATACACTTGTGGGCAAGGAAAAGGCTGTTGTCTTGCCTAAAGCTGTACTCACCGACACACGTTGGTTGAGTTGCTGACCATTTTCCAGTCTCAGCGCAATGCTGGACTGCCATACCAGTAAGGTTGAAGCCAGTGTCGCAGCTAAAGGTGACTGTGTTGTTGTACGAGAGCCCTTGTAGCATCTTACGACCGTTCACTGGCGCACCAGGGTCTGCACATGTTATTACTTCAGTAACATGCGTATACCAAACACCACGCACAAAATGGCACACGCACAAATAAAACGACAGAAAATTCAAGTACTTCCAAAGTACAAAACGAAAATAAACACTTTGCTCGAGAAACAAGTATAACTGCCACTTAAACACACACACACCCAGGGAACACACACCCAGGGAACACACACCCAGGGAACACACACCCAGGGAACACACACCCAGGGAACACACACCCAGGGAACACGATAAGATTTCGAAATTGGCCAAAGACAAAGTCCTGCAACTTATGGAAACGGTTGGACCTGGCGGGACACTGTGATTTGGCAAATTTTATGGTACATATCTGGTACTCTTATTGTCTTCGCCACTTTCATACACGACCGCACCGCATATGCATACGTACATGCAACATTACATTGCTGTGTTGCTGGTCACATCAAGTACTCTCATCACATGGATCTCAACTAAATATTTTTGTAACCCTGATTCAAATCCCAGTGCATCGGGCAGCAAGCACAGTAACTGTGAACGTGCAGCGTTTCTGCACATTGAGGAATTCAGTTGGTGTTTCGACAGATAGTTTTCATACAGTCGACAAAGACAAAGTGGGCACTTGCTTGCCCATTCCTATTGCCAGATCCAAGATCGACACCATTTCAGTCACTACTCGAGTTGCCAGAAGATCTTAGGAAGCGTGACGTGCACTTTGAACAGCACTTATAATTCTACTCGATGCTGATTTTCTGACTCACTTTCATTGCTGTTGCTTCGTCGATCCTGCACACGCCTATGCGAAAGGAGACTATTAGTTTGGCAGGATTGCCAGAAGATTACTTTTTTCAATAGAGCCATATCGCAAAGTGTTACATTTCTGAAGCCTCATTTATCTGGAACTAGGACGTTTCCAATTTTTTGGATAGTACAAGCGCCTCATGGAATAGTTCCTAGCTTCTCCAGGAAGCGAGACAAAACTCCTCGAGTGTTTGCTAGTAATCCCCCCCCCCCCCTCTTCCTCTGCACAGTGTGTTTGAGTTGCTCTGGTTTTGTCAGCTGTAGAGGGAGCGGGTTCCTGCACGGTCCTCCACACTTTCATCGTTTTGCGAGAACTGTGGCAATACGCCCAGTGAGAAGGCAGATTTTGCCTGCGCTTCTGGTGAAGTAAAATAACGCCAAACAAACAAACTTAGGGCGTTTCGTTTTTGCTTCGTCCGGCATCATGTGCAATTGGGTAAACTCACCCATTCCACAATACTCTGCAAGTTTCCGAACCATTCCATTATATACAACGTTTCGGCCAATGGCCATCTTCAGGTAGTCAATGATGTCCCTAAGGCTGCAAACGGAACGTTGTATATAATGGGATGGTTCGGAAAATTGCAGAGTAGTGTAGAATGGGTGAGTTCACCCAATTGTATCCACTATGAAACTGCAGGAAGCCTCCAAGCTTCTTCTCAGTTGACATCATGTGCTTTTCTCAACAAATTAATACTATTTGCTCAACATCCGAGTTCTAAAATTTGTATTATTCAAAATGTCTAGAGGTCTATACTTTTGAAAGGCACTATAGTAGCTACGCAGATCAAGGAAAGAGAAAAATGTGATTATAAAAGATGCAGGCCAGCTGGCATTTGGATGTATGGTGGTCTTACAGTAGGAGCTATACAACAGGAAGGATCATTGTACTACCCAATGGTTGGGGTTGCATGTTTACAGTATATGCACAGGTCCTGGTTTCTTGATCTCATGACTTTATCTCATGAGACTGTCTTCTTTAAATTTATTGATTCCTGCTTCACCATCAAGTCTCTTCGATATCGGGGCTGCAACAGTAGAATGATATTGTGTCCTGCCAAGGCAATCTAATTCTTATTTACTTCCTCTAGGAACAAAACAACTTTGTGACTTTTTACGTGACTTTTCAAGGAGGTACTGTGCTCAACAAAAGTGTTCTATTGGAAGGGAAACATTTCAATACGCTCAATGGACATGTGTACAATACCTGCAAGATTGATGGGGAGAACAGAGTCTGAGTCTGAGTCGCCACGGCTCGATTCATCACTGCTAGAACCAACCAAAGTGGCAGGTGGATCGACTTGTTGTCGAATGTCACGGAGCAGCTTCTCCGCGTCCCTGGTCGTCTTCGCTCTTACTACTAGTACTGGTACGTGATATACACCAGTGCCTTCCCTAGCATGTAGTTGGGACCCAGGTGGCGCTAGTACTCATCATCGTCCCCGCTCAAGAGGCTGCCTCCGAACGAGGCGCACAGGCAAAGCCAAACAGTTTTCATTTTCTCCCCATCACTTGACCACTGCTGCGAGGAGATCATCGGAGTGGAGGCTGCTGAAAAAGGCGAGATCTTCTACATTGATGCATGGGATTCGCGGGGGCTGAACTTTGATTTGGAACATTCTAGCCTTGCTGAGCTGAGCGAAGTGACGAGTGTCACAACTTTCGTTTTGGAGTTTTGACATCTTGCCGATCTGTTTGCACTTTGGCTGGTGTTTTTGAGGATGACGGAGATTTCAAAACGCTAGCCGCTATTCCTTTCATACTTTTCTTGCTCCTCAGTTGCATTTTCCTGCTCTTACTCATTCTGAACTAAAAACTTGCAACGACGAGCAGTGAGCACAATGCATTAATTTCCGTAGCTATGCAAAAGACGTTACTTCAGTAATGCATGGGGCTAGCCAGGGTCTACACAGCTTTATTTCCGTGTGTGTTTGTGTGTGTGTTGTGCCGTCGGCATGTCTGGCGCTATCCCGTTACTTTCCCGTACAGTACCATCAATGACAGTTGGCCGCAATATTGTTGTTGTTGTGTTTATTTTAATTCGCAAACCAAACAGGCAGATCTGCCCAATGAAAAGGTGGCGAATGCAGATAGAAAGCAGTAATAAATGAAATTGGGGACTGATGTAATTAGGATAGAGGTGGAGAAAAACTAAGCCAGCTGATCATCAAACAGGACGTTTGGTACTGTAGGTACTAAGGGTGTGCGGGATCATGCTGGCGCGGAACTGGCGGAGCGTGGAGATGGCACGTATATCGCTGGGTAAGGTGTTCCACAGCTGGGCGCCCGGAACGCGAGGCAACCCTTGCCGAACCTGGTGCAAAATGGTGGTTGGCGCAGACCCATGGTGGAGTGCAGCCTAGTTGGGCCAGCTGACGAAGGAACTAGGAGGGCTTGCAGATCAGAACTTGCGTGCCCATTCCGAGACCTCAAGACAAGAACGATGAATTTTTGCCTGAATATCTCGGATACTCTGTAGGTGTCCAATTTCAGCAGGAGGGTACGCGCGGAGGTGTGATGCGAGAGTCCGAAAACCGCCCTTGCCGCCCGATTCTGCATGACTTGTAGCCGATCCAATTGGTTGGCAGTAAGAAGTGGGGAAAACGCATTGGATCCGTACATCAGGTCAGACATGATGATCGCTTTAAAGTAGAGAACTCAGCTCTGATGAGTCAAGCAGCGACGCAACCTCCATAGTGCTCCGATCCTCTGGGCCAGTCGAGTGGTGCAGCGATCAACATGGGCCGTCCAGGACAGATCCGAGTCGAGGAGCACTCCAAGATACCTGGCCGCAGTAACGACAGGAATCGGCGTTTCATGACAGTATACATTGATCGTGTGCTGGGGCTGCTGAGGTTGCCTGTTGGGGTATACAGGGATCACTTGTCTCTTGGCTGCATTCAAAATGAGACCACGGGTCTGCAACCAGTCAGCAAGTGCAGAAACCAAGGCCGATAGCGTAGCAGATACAGTGTCCAGGGATGTGCTGCTGCTGATCATCGCGATGTCATCAGCAAATTGAACTGATGAAGACTGGTTAGCTATGGTTGGAACTTCGCGGGTGTAGATACTGAAAAGGATCGGTCCTGGAACAGAATCGTGTGGCACGCCACAGGATGGTGCAGAAATGGCACTCTGATCCCGTCCAATACAGATACGCTATTCAAAATTTGAATCCTATTTAATAGGACTTTCAAATGCAAGATCATAACATGAAACAACTTGGAAGAATGAGTATGTATAGGAAGTGTTTAGGTACTTACGGGTGCAGATTGGCATGGCGGGTATCCATGCGGCATGCTCAGTGCATGTTCTTGTAGGAGATCCAGACATATTGTAACCTTCATCACACGCATACCTGACGACACTCTGATAGACGGATGTGTGTGGCTGTTGTGAACCATGCTTAGGAGTGCCAGCAACAGGACATTGGATGACTGGAAATAAAAAAAGAAAGATGCACAATGATAGATTCAGCCAAAGTATGACCAGGAATGCTACTTCAGCCTGTAATATCTTTATTATGTTATTATTATTTATTCTTCTTTTACTAGGGACTTCCCAACAGGCGTCAGCGCCTCTTTACAGGGAACCCTAGGTATAATTTGATGGATGAGCGAAATTCAGCGGGTGAACTAGACATGCGGCAAGCCAGTGGAAGTGTATTCCACCCGGCAGCGCCCAAATAAGAAATTGCACGAAAGCCATATCAGGCGTTAGTGGGGGGCCCCGGGCAGAACAAGAGCAGCAGAGACTTGGCCACGGGTGGTGGCTGCAGTGTGAGCACCATGGGCGCGCAAGGTAAAGCGGTCTCGCAGAAGAGGACTAGCAAGTCCATTAAGGCAGCGGTAAACAAATACATAGGTTTTGAAGTTGAGGCGTTTCTCAAGGGCGTACAGGTTAGTCTGACTGTATAGAATAGTGGTGGGAGTCATTCTATCCAACGAAAATATTCTCTTTAATGCAACGTGGCTGGCAGTAAGAAGCTTGTCATATAGGGTTCGTGATAAGCAATGAATATAATTATGCAGTGTTGCCAAACTCAAATATGGACTGAATGATCGATGAATAGAAAAGTCTAAGTGAAGCGGACATTACAAAATGATGAATGAGAATACATGTATCTAAAATGGTTGTTCCTAATCGATTTTCTTGAGACTATCATCAGGGAAAATCGTCTCACAATAGAGGCTATACGGAGAAACAAACTACTTATAGGTTAATGGATAGTGGGAAGTATACAAGGTGAGGTGTGAAAAAAAACTAAAGTGGGAGAGAAGACGAAAGAATTTAGAAGAAAAGATGTGAGAGTGTTCTGACGGTGTGAGCTACTACAAAAGGTGAGTGAAATGAAGGCGTGGAAGCAGGTGAATGTGATAGAGTGAGGAACTGTGAGGTGTAGGTGTATGCGAATGAATACGTGTGTGAATGCTAGGTGAAGAGTCTCAGTTTTGTGACATTTTCTTTCTGAATGCATAGATTAGGATTGTGTTTACGGATGAAAACAGCTTCTAATACCTTAAGTTCACGAAACCTACGAGCACGACACAAAACAGTGAAGCATCTTCTCTCCCACTTTAGTTTTTTTTCACACCTCACCTTGTATACTTCCCACTATCCATTAATCTATAAGTAGTTTGTTTCTCCGTATAGCCTCTATTGTGAGACGATTTTCCCTGATGATAGTCTCAAGAAAATCGATTAGGAACAACCATTTTAGATACATGTATTCTCATTCATCATTTTGTAATGTCCGCTTCACTTATACTATTAATCGCATTAATAAAGTTATTGTCTCCTCGTCGCCTTTTCAATAGAAAAGTCGTTTGCCAAGAATGCTGATAATCTGCTTTGCATGGGCAAATGCTACGACCTTCCTATTGACATTTGCACATACTGCATCCACTTGGGTTGAGAAAGACAGATGTTCGTCAACCAGTATTCCTAAGTACGGAGCGTAAGCAGATAGGACTATTCAAGTGCCCAGGGTGTTGACTGCGATGCCAGGTGGCAGCTTCGTGCCCGGTCGCCGGAGCAGGACAAACTGAGTCTTGGACGGGTTTAACACCAGACCCTTCCGATCTAGGTAGCGATCCAGAGCGGCAAGGTCATCACTCAGCTGGGTTGTGATAATCTGGATGGACTTGTGCCTGATATAGAGTGTAATATCATCGGCATAAAGTTGATTCAATGCATGTTGGAAGCACTGGAGTGCATCACGGGTGTAAATGCAAAATAGCAATGGGCCGAGCACTGCGCCTTGTGGGACGCCTCTTGTGCAAGGGTGGGCCCCACCTAGCTGTTGTCCTACTCTTACTCGCTGGACGCGTCTGGTCAGGTAGCTTGCAAACAAAGCAGTGCAGTGTCAGCGATGCCAAGCATCTTCAACTCGTCAACGAGCTCTTGATGCTTAACTCGGTCAAAAGCTTTGCTCATATCTGCAACCACTATGCCGCAGTACTCGTTATTATCAAGGGCTTTGAGCCATTCGTCGACCACTAGCGCTAGGCAGTCCTCACACGAGCTGTTGGAATGGTAGGCAAATTGATTGTCAGGCACGTACATGATGTTGTGTAACTTAAAGAATGCAATCAGCTGCTCCAAGACAACTCGTTCTAATATCTTGCTGCATATGGGCAAGAATGACACTGGTCTGAGAGAGCTTTCTGCATCGCCTGATTTGAAAACTGGGCTGACTGTGGCATTCTTGAAAATATCTGGTACGCACCCTGTGCTCAGAGATTTATTGATAATATCAGTGAGAGAAACTGCTATGGAATCACAACCATTCTTCAGTACGGCTGGTACGACTTTGTCAGAGCCAGGTGACTTACTTGTGTTTGTTGCTTTGAGCAGTGTGGTGATGTGCGCCACAGTTACGGGTCGAAAATGGGACAGTCGAGCAGCAGTAGTTGACTGTTGGGTGGCTGGGTGTAAACATATGTCAGCAGGCTGGCTTAAATCGTGCACTATGTTAGCAAATGTCTCTGTCAGACTACTGAGAGATGCAATTGGCTGATTTCTTACTTTCCGCCTGCCAGACAGACTGTTAAGAAGAGCCCACTGACCTCTAGGATTTCGTCGGAGTGCCGAGAACTGGTGCATCAGGAAACGGGATTTCAGTCTCCTACTCAGAAGCGTCCCCTCGCGTCTAACAGATCGATACTGTTGCTTAAGAACCATATTCCCAGGCTGCGAAAGGACTCTACGATGCAGAGTACTTCTGCGCTGCAGCAGTTTCCGTAGCTCTGGTGTTGCCCACGGTTGAGGCTTAGGTTTGGGACAGAGGGGTAGTCTAACTTGTTTAGATGGAGCATGCGTATCTGTAACAGCAGCGATAGACGTTAGAAGATGGCAAGTTTGACTGTCCAATGTTGAAAATGAGGATGAGTCCTCGAGCATACCATTCAGGTCAGCATTAAATTGAGAGTAGTTGATAGTAGCTATTCCTGGTTTTCTCACAACCTTAGTTCTTTGGGTTGCTGGGGGCTTCCATTCTGGTATTACAATATCAAGGCGGACTAGGTGGTGATCAGTAAGATCTGACATGGGGATGATCGTTGGATTGGGCAATGGAAAGGTAGTGTTCAACAGAGCCAGGTCAAGACACGTGTTTGACTGCGCTCTAGTTGGTGCGTGGACAATGTTCTGCAGCTGGTGTTCTGCACAAGGCTTAAGTAGATGATAATGATGTACAGTCGGTTGTAAGATGTCCGTGTTCAAATCTCCCAGAACTAGCAGGTCAGAGCTGTCTACGAAAATGCCATCCAACTGGGCACTGTACTGCTCCCAGAATTCTGTGTCAGAGCTCGGTGGGCGGTAGACTGAACTCACGAGGAGCTTACACGCATCTGGCTCCCGTGCAATGCGAACTGACACAAACGACTCCAGATGTGTGTTGGATGCGGGCATGATGAGACGAGCGCGGAGACTGGACATGACGTACAAGCACACACCTCCGCCCCTCAAGTTCCTGTCGTTCCGATATATCCGATATCCAGGGATGTTCAGCAGGGAATCTGATACTGAGCTGTCTAGCCAGGTTTCATTAATTGACATGATGTGAATTTTATTGGCATGCAGGATATGATGGATTTCATGAACTTTGTTTCGTAGACTGCAGATGTTCATATGAGCAACTTTGAGGACGGCGCGGTTGTCTGGCTGGGGGTTCCCTGATATGTCCTATTGGGCAGACAGCAGAGCCTGGATGGCATTGTCAGAGAGAGGTGTCCCTTTGTCATCCAATATGACGTCATAAGACAGAGAGCACTTGACCTTTTTGGCTCGAAGTTGCTTATACTTCGGTAGTACTGCCTTCCGCTTCGTTTGCTGTTGTCGAGTCAGGTGGTTGTTGACGTACACATCATGTCCATTCACTTTTAGGCCAAGGCGATCCTTGTACGCTGACGCCTTGAGGCGCTTGTTTCCAAAGCGTACCCTGACAGGAGCTGAACCTGGCGCTGGAGTCTCATGTTCAGTAGCGCGTGGGCGCAAACGTTCGACTTCCAGCAGGTCAGAGGCCGAACATTTGAACAGAGTACTGCAATGCAGGGATAGGGTTTCATTCGATGATGCAGGCAGTCCTCGTACTATGACGCTGGTAGTACGGTTGGACCTCTCAACCTCCTCGGCAATGATGTCGAAGAGGTTGTATGGTTCGAGTTGGACTACCGGTCCTGCATTTGCCGCCTCCGAGGTCAATGGTGCACCAACTGGTCCGCCTTGCACTGCTGTACTACATGTACTAATGCTGGTGTCGTCTGTCAAAAATCGTACCGTGGCGGCAAGGTCAGTCTTTTACCGCTCCAGATCACCAAGTCTTGCCTTCAGAGCTGTCACCTCCGTGGTTAGGTCTGCAACCGGTGTCACCAGGTTTGCCAGCCGGTCGTCTAACAACTCGGACATACACGTCCTAAATTCCTTCATCATGTCCACGGGGGCCTCATCTTGAGTGGTGAACATGCGTTAAGGACCCTTAGTGCTTCCCAGCCATGCCACTTCTAAACCTTCTGTAAGTGCTCTGTTGATGGACTTCTACCAACAAGCTTTGCAACATGCAAATTCAATTTCGCTTGAAGTGACCCAAAACCAGAGTGTTCGTACTGAGAAGGTTACAGCTCATGCACCAAAAGAGTACCAGTAGATGAACAATTTATTATGTACACACACACATACTTCAGTACACTTCATACTCTCATACTGGTAGTCTCACGTTGTTATTATTTCTCACATCCGCATCATTTTTTTTCTCTTCGCCCACCCCTGTTATCAGTTCACACTTCTCTAGTCTTTCACATTGTGCATTTCGTACTCTTCTACGTAGATATTGTTTATTGCTAGGTTTCATTATTGAGACGCATTTCCCTGATGAATATCCCTAGAAAAATTGTTAGAAAATGTTATTATCCATATTTTGTTCCTGTTGATTACTACGTCCAATGTCCGCTTCGCTGATTCTGCTGATTGCTACTTCGAAGTATAAAGAAGTTATTGTCTCTGCGCCGCTTGTTAATATATTATGTATATTCACAAAACAGATAGGCTCTAAGCTGTCCAGATAACTACTTGTCGTAAAATACAGGAAGAGTGAACTCACTTTCGCAGACTGGCAGAGTTGCTGACCAAGTTTTATTGGCTAAACACCGCCTAGTCAATGATCCTGACATGTCGTAACCAATATCACACTGATACGAGACAACACTGTTGTAGTGTTGGCTGTTCAGCGTACCCGAACCATTCACTGGACTACCAGGATCTGGACAGGAAACAACTGCAACAACAAAAATGAAAGCAAAGAATACTGCAGAGTGAGAAGTTTTAACATGTAAGAAAATCGGTCAACACAATTAATTTTTCACACTTTCGTAATCCCGGTTGAATATCCTACCTCTTGTTGAAGTTTGAGGACAAAATGAATTAGTTTCTATAACCATTTGGTTCTTCACAAGTTATACAAAAGAGAAAAACCAAGGAACTACAAGTTACGCTATACTATGTACAATAATATACATACAAACTGGCTGGCGGTACTGACGTTCTGCCATTAACTGGCTGACAGCTCTAGCACATCTCGGATGTGCACTCCAATGTTATGGCATGAGCTGATTGCTTAGTAACTGGTGGTGTTAGCGGACAGTATAGCGTAACTTGTAGTTCATTGGTCTTTCTCTTTTGTACAAATTAAACCCTGGCTCTCCATCAGGGTCCATTCTTCTCAAGTGTGTGAATTAGTTTCTATAATTATACTCAGAGTTGTGACAAAGCTTCGAATGTCTCTAGTCTTTCTATAATCATAACTAATTTGCAACATGGAAATTCGAGATTGTTTGAAGTAACCCCAAACCACAGTATTCATAGTGAGAGGTTATAGATCATGCACCAAAAGGGTACCAATTCATGAGCAATAATTATAATTGTCGCACTCTTCAGCACCTTGTTGAGCACTCTCAGTATGCTGCTCTGGGGCTGCTGCATTAAGCATTGCCCGCTACTTTTTATATTGTGAGCAATCTGGCGCTAGAGCGACGAGCTACCTTAAAATGTCTGTGGTGCCTCTCTTTGAAACCATGACTGTTAGCTCGGCTTCATTAAAGCTCGTAGCTGTGCTGATGAGGCCTTTAAGGCCGAAACAGCTTGCTGTCTGCAGCAGCGGGTGAACATTATACTCACTGCAGGCAGTGAATATAGTATGTATTGTCAAGAAGGCTGTATGCTGTCCAAAAGGCTCTAAGCTGTCCACAAGGCTACTTGTTGTTATTTAAATGAATATTCAACTCACTGTTGCAGACTGGAAGGGGTGCAGACCAAGCCTTATTGGCTAAGCACTGGCTAGTCATTGATCCTGACATATCGTAACCCATATTACACTGGTACACGACAACACTGTTGTAGTGCAGGCTGTTCAGTGTACGCATGCCATTCACTGGACTACCAGGATCTGGACAGGAAACAACTGCAATAACAAAAATGAAAGCAAAGAATAATGAAATACTAATGGATTTGGATGTTCAACCAACAACACAATTTCAAAAAGGGAAAGGAACACATGGGTCGCGATCAGCGAAAACATGTCTTTGGGTTTTCGCAAAAAATAATGAGAAAAAAACGGAAGGACAAAGTGTTTTGTAGAGCTTGTTCATGCTTCTCTTCCTTCATGAACATCTAGTGATACTTGAGCAGCTTGCACGGCCCGACGATCACTGTGCATGGGGCAGGTTTGTTCAGGTGTCAGCAAGTCCGCAGCGGCGGGACTGCAGAGAAACAATGCTGCCCGAATAACCACTTCGTGTTAAGGGGCTCTCAAACTCATCGTCATCACTGCCTCTGCTACTGGCTGATCATCTGAGCCCAGACCGCATCAGCCATTGACCTCTTTGGACGGGTACCATTGTTGCATTCTCTCAGGAATGCCTCAAGAGGTTGCTTCACTCCCTGAAGGGTTAGCAAGGACAACGCTTTTCTCAGAGATAGTAAGCTAATGAGAGGGCACATGTTTGACGGAGGGCCATTCTTTTTATTCGGTTTCTGCAAAGCAATCAGCGTTCCATGTCAAAGAGTTAGTGGCTGGTGTATTTCAGCCTGCTTGCTAGCGCCGATGTGAGAGTCTCGCTTCCGAATTTGAACTCTGCTGGCCCTGCATCTGGGGCACAAGCTCTGTCATTACTGAGGCGTCCAATGCTTTGCTGCAGTTCCTCTTGGGTAATGGGATTCTCAAGAGGTCTTGGGTCTCCGACGAATGCTTCTACTGGCTTTGATGTTTCGCTATTGAATTGACTACAGGAGTGTTTTACCACAGCAGCTGCTGCATCTATGCTGTTACCTACGGTACGACCGTCTTTGTCCTCCACCACTGGCTTAGCTGCAGTTTTTTTTCTCTTCATGAGTCTTACGGGCTGAAACATCTGGGCGCCATCACGGAGCTGCTCAGCTTCTCTTGCCTGATCATCTAAACGCCTGGTAACATTCTCAAGGCGAAGTCTCCTGATTTCCGGGCGTAATTTCTTTTGCTTTAGTGACAATGCTTCTATTTCGGAATTGAAGCCGCCTTTCAGTCCTGTTACTTTGGCATAACCAATAGTGTCTGCGGCTGCTTCTTTGACGATCTCTATAATCTTGGTGCAGGTAGTCTGTGTGTCAGGTTCAGAAAGCATAATTATTGTGCACCTTGTGTGTTACAGTTTCAGTTATTTGGTCAATATCTGACCGTGTTGCCGTCTTCACGCTACGCCTGACAGTTGCTGACAGCGCTGATAGGGCCAAAGGAGGTGGGACAAGAGTCAGTACGAGTACACGCGACATGCCCAAATTCGCCAAGACCCGTCGATAATCCGATGAAGTCAGTGCACCGCCATAACTCCTGCAGTTCTTCAGTAGTCTTTTCTGCAGAACAAATCACACAAGATGTAGTCTATGTGATTATACACTGGCAGAGTCCTTCCAGTATCTCTGTCCTTTCTCCAGCCAGTGCAGGTTGCTTGGTGCCTAGCAGAAGCCTGGAGTGTGGTGTTGCTCACGTATAGCTGATCGCATTCGCAGAAGTTGACGAGTGCATGATCGCTGACACTTCTACGGCCCTGTCCATGAGGTCAAATGCTAGCTGGTCCACCAGGCCCAAGCGTCCCTACTTTCGCGTTGAAATATCCGATTATGAAGAGTGGGGGATACCCCAACACCTGGTCTAGAGCCGTCAGGAGGTTGTCGTGAAACGTTTCGAGTTCGTCGTGTTCTTTGGCGCATCTCGTGGGCTTTAAGGCGTATGTGCTGATAATGGCTACAATCGTCCGTGTAATCGTACTGGCTCCTGTCCCTCTTCCTTTGGCCCATTGAGCGCTGTCCTCAACTGTCAGGCGTAGCGTCAAGACGGCAACACGGTCAGATATAGACCTGTAGTGGTGTATTTGCTCTACATGTGACCGAGCCACGACAAAGCGATGTCTATAGTGTTTGCAGATAGGCTGCCGGCCGATAAATCTCGAGCCATTCCATATACCGCAAACAACAAATATCCACTTTGTAGTCTACACGGCGAGGTCTTGAGAAAGCGCCTCTTGCTTCAGCCGTGAAAATAGTCCGAGAGAGAGAGACAGAGAGAAAGGGATATAATATATATATATATAGAGAGAGAGAGAGAGACAAAGAGAGGGAGGGAGGCAGAGAGAGAGAGAGAGAGAGAGAGAGAGAGAGAGAGAGAGAGAGAGAGAGAGAGAGAGAGAGAGAGAGAGAGACAGAGAGACAGAGAGAGAGAGAGAGAGACAGAGAAAAAAGAGAGAGAGACACAGAGGGAGACACACACAAAGAGAGAGAGAGAGAGAGAGAGAGAGAGAGAAGAGAGAGAGAGAGAGAGAGAGAGAGAGAGAGAGAGAGAGAGAGAGAGAGAGAGAGAGAGGGAGGGAGGCAGAGAGAGAGAGACAGAGAAAAAAGAGAAAGACAGAGAGAGAGACACACACACAAAGAGAGAGAGAGAGAGAGAGAGAGAGAGAGAGAGAGAGAGAGAGAGAGAGAGAGAGAGGGAGAGAGAGACACACATATACACACACACACAGGGAGACACAGAGACACAGAGAGACACAGAGAGATAGAGAGAGAGAATGAGAAAGAGAGAGAGAGAAAGAGAAAGAGGAAGAGAGAGAGAGAGAGAGAGAGAGAGAAAGAGAGAGAGGGAGAGAGGGAGAGAGAGAGAGAGAAAGAGAGAGCGAGAGGACAGCGTAACCTTCCTCAACCAAACAAATCAGATACTACTGTACTACTAGTTACCGCCATCTTGCGCTCACGCTCGGTCCCTCTACTCTCAATTTTCCGTACTTTTGACTTCCAATCCTGACTCGGCAGGTTTCTGGCCTCTCCGCAGTCTGTCCTCACGAGAGGGTCGCTTTGGAGGTAATGCAGCAATACAACAGAATAGAGTTCCTTCTCGTACGCGACCAACTTCCGTTGTGCTCGACTCCGCTTCCTCTGCAGGGAAGTACATGTAGTCAAACTCCAGGACCATGACTTGCTTGCTGCAGCCTATGACTACACTATTTCCAATGATACTAAAATCTCCCTCATCCAAGCTCACCTCGCGCTATGGCATGACTCGATCTTTCTGCATTTTCGTGTTGGGAAAGGAACGTACGGAACGGGAGCCTCAGTCTTCACTTCCATGCAACCATGAGCACAGTAGCGCTTTGGCATGCTGATACAAGCCAAATCACAACAGCTCTAGCCAAAACGCCACATCAGTGCTCGTCAGCCTGAGGTAAAAAGCGAAAGTGAGGCAAAAAGCGAAAGTCTGAAACTCAAATGGTCGGGAAGTCACTCTGAGCGGAAGGTCGACTTGCGTCGTCTCGAACCCAGACAATCTTTGTGCAAGTCATCTATTGTTGAAACTCAAAGTATGTGCAGACGGAGAATGGTGCACACATCCTCGCGAAAAGGAAAAGGACATTTTGCAAGAAGAAAAAAAGGCAAATGAACTCCAAGATATGCTATAATGTCCACAAACACGACCAGCTACTATACAATCAGCTCATGCGATCACATAGCAATACACTGACTGACGGTACTGAATCTCAACAACTAACTGCCAATCAGCTCTAGCATGTCTTGGGTGCCCAACCCAACAGCCTTACCAACTTGGAAGGTTTTAAGTTGTAAGGTGAAGTTTCTAAGTTTAACCTTCCCCACGTGTGTTATTTCTACTTAGTCTGCCAAGTTACAATTGGCGCTTATCATCGCACTCGATGTTCTGCCTATGGTATGCCGCATGGACCCACCGATTCACCATCCAGCCATCACCACAGATCATTGCATCCAACAACATGGCAGCGGAGACCATCACAGAAGTTGCAATCGGTTCGTTTGCATCTATTTTACTTAAGCTGCCACCAGTGAACACTTCCGTCAGCATATTTGAAACACTGCAACATCCGCTCCAGTTGGTAAAATAGGTCAGAATGTTCGCACTTCAGAGCGATGGTGAATACAGTGTCTGCATACTTCCAGGTATATGGTGGCAAGCATGGTTTTCCATGGAGAGGTATAGAAAAGCTGAAAAAGCGCTTTGCGAGCTTGAGTTTGAGTGCTCGCCTGTGCAGTGCCTAGTGAAGAGCTATCACCAGCAAATCGCTGACGAAGAAACCACAGCTCATGTCATCTCCAGAAAGTTATACCAACCCGGCGAACACACGCTCAAGCTCACAGAGGGCCACGCACTGGAGCTGATCAAAATAAACACCAAGTCTTTAGGAAAACTCCCATCCAAGCGACTTGTAGGAAACTCGCAGAAATGAGATACGCCTGCTCCAGAGTCAGTGCGACACTGCTGCAAGGCGTTAGGTGCAATACGAACAGATGCTACATCAAGCGGAAGCTATCACTGCACTGCACCAGTGGCTCACGTGGGTGCTGATCAGCAAGTACGACAAGTGCAAAAGGCACTTTGAAAGAAGGACAGTGATGCGGTGTTGCCTTTTTGCTTCAAAGAAAGGCATTTTTGCGACGAAAGGAGGCCACAGACAGGCACCACACTGGTAGTCTCACTCAGCTTCTAAGTGGCAAGATGACAGGAACGACAGGTCACACCCTTTTGTAGTGATTCGAGACAAGAAGAAGTGAAACAAGGTATGAAACTTGTGGCAGTTGTAGGGATCGAATGTTTTGAGCTCTTCCTCCAGCGACGATAGTGACGAGTGAGACATGTAACTTGCTTGAATTTTCGGCTGAGTTGCTTCCTGACATGTAAAATATATACATTGGGTTTTCTGATCGTGGCAAGCTTCAGATATTAATTAATTTTGACGTTCTATTCTCGAGAGAAGAGTGAAGATAAGCGCCAATTTCACCTTGGCGGACCAAGTATACCTTAGAACCATCCAAGCTGGAAGGCTGTTGGAGTATGTTAAATGTAGAATGTCAGTACCGTCGGTAAGGGTCGTGCATTGTGATGGCATGTGCTCATTTAAAAGTAACTGGTTGTTTTGGTAGACATTATAGACGTTTGGTTCCTTGGTCCTTTTTCTTCTTTAATTAAATACGAATTAATCTGTAGCTCTCTTGAACCTTTGCAATGGTCTTTGTTCTTGATCCTTCAAAACTCCTGGTCAAAATGAAAGAAAGAGAAGTCACTCACCTGTACATGTTGGAATTGGTGTTGACCAGGTGTGATTTGTAAGACAATTACTGAATCTCGAGCCCTGGAGACGGTACCCATAGTTGCACAGGTATACCAGTACAGTATCAAATCGCAAGCCTTGATGGAAAATGCTACCATTGCTTAAGTTGCCCGGATGTGGGCAAAAGGTTTCTGAAATCACAAAAGAATCACAGATGAAAGAGGTTACTCCCAGATGCGTGCATGCATTTCACATACTTTGAAGTATATTGATCCTGAACCATCACCACAGCACTTCAACAAAAATAGAACTCACCCAAGGGTTGTCTATAAATTATTGTTAAAACTTCAAGAATCCCAAAGTTTCACACTCCCAAGCGACCAAAGAAGAACGAGAACGGAAAGACTGCATGGTACGGGTTAGAGAGAGAGAGAGGGAGAAAGAGAGAGAGAGAGAGAGAGAGAGAGAGAGAGAGAGAGAGAGAGAGAGAGAGAGAAAGGGAGAGAGGAGAGAGAGAGAGAGAGAGAGAGAGAGAGAGAGAGAGAGAGAGAGAGAGAGAGAGAGAGAGGAGAGAGAGAGAAGAGAAGAGAAGAGAGAGAGAGAGAGAGGGAGAGGGATAGAGAGACAAAGTCAGACAAAAAGGAGGAGAGAGAGTGATAGATAGCTAGAAATATAGAGTGCTACATCAAGGGCCAGGGGAGACCTGGCAAATATGGGGTGCAATCAGCAGCCCAGTCCAACGAAGCAAAATGGCCCACTAGAAGCTTTGTTGTGCAGACTTCTCGGCTCGGGAGAGGATGTACGCCTTCTTCCTTCGGTCTGCCAGTTCATAATGGTATTAATCACAGGATATTCCTTTGACCCGGCGAGACCACATACTGCTTGTAGCAGGAGTAACACGTCTTGATATTGTGGAACATGGCTGGTTAACCGTTGCTGAAAACTATAAAGGCTCTTTCTTGTTCGTCCAGCAAACTACTTGAAAGTGAAATACTTTCACTATCGCGCTCAAGCAGCAGTTTGCCAACTGCCGAGTTACGTTTTTGGTTATGTTCTCCATCTTATTGTGGCGAAAATGGGCTTTTGATGGCTTTAAACTGTCCAATAATGAGTGATCTACGGGTCACAGTTTGGAGCTCTGTGCACCTTCCAAGATGGCAAAAAGAGGGCCCGAAATCATGGGTGAAGGTCAACAAAAATGATCAAAAAGCAAAATGGAACCCAATTACAGTTTTCTCTGATGGAGTGATTTCACCTCCTCCTATGAACTTGAAAACTCAATCCCTGTCATATGCAGGTGTTGGACACAGATTTATCAGACAGTAAGAAGCAAATGACGTTTTCCGAGCCTGGGAAGGCCCTACACATGTGGCCCAACTAGTGATTATGAATATGGGAACCTTTTGATGCCAACCAGAATCAATCATAAGCAACGTTCCTTATACAACTCACCAATGATCTGTAAAAAGGACTGAATGCTGTTTCCGGCTTTGAAGTCCTATTACTCATCTCACCGGCACAAGCAAAAAAAAGAACTCAGATGGTGAGTCCAGGAAACAAATTGACTTTCATGCCGTGGAATGTCTCAGGACTCCTTGTGACTTTTTTGTGATTAATTGTGTACGTTTGACATCTGACTGTTCAAAATCTGGTGCAGTTGGTGAACTCGTTCACATCACTTGTGCCCACAATTTCCAGGTTACAAAGTAAGGATCTTATCAGCATAACTTTTACCTTTACAAACAGGGCGTTGGCCAGACCAGGTTCCGTTGTCCTCACATATGCGACTTTGTGCAGCATAGCCTTCGGCGCATTCATAGTTGACAACGCTGAGATACACCGAGGTGAAATTGCGCCGTGTACCATTCACGGGTATGCCTGGATCGTTGAAGCATTTAACAACTAGAGGAAGACACGAAGACAGATAGACAAGTTTATTCCAGGTTAATTTCAAGCTATTCTTCATTATGACTGTGATTTGACACAACGCAAAGCACTAGCAAAACGACTTCAAGAGAAACAGCAACCTACCAAATTTTAGAATGTCATTCAGCATTCAGTGGTTAGGTCACTGAATACATGGCACTTAAGGGCGGACCACTGTTACTGTGAGTGGGAGTATGCCTAATTACGTTTTTGCTCCCAACATTGATGCTTATGTAGTGGTGATTGAATGTACAAAGAAGACACAAATCAGTCAAAATTCGCCAAAATTCGCATCCTCTCCCTTTGTGTGAACTTCATTGCCTAAAAAATACGGAAAATTCACCAGCACCTACTGGAATCCAATTGATTCCAAATAGACTAGCGATGCTCTAAACTAAGGTATCGGGGAGTCATCGACATATTGAAAACTTCATGTGTGGTACAGGAGATCCTGGGTGTAGTCATAAACAATATGAGGCCAAACCAGTCTTCCATGGCCACTTCTCACCTCAACCCACTGGCTCGGCCATACTACCCACACTGCCAGGAAAAGCTAAACCTGTTCTCCATTAAGAGACCATGTCTGAGAATACCAAATTATGTGTGAAAGTGGACCTCTCCGATTTCGCTTAAAACTTGCAGGTATGTTCCCTTTGGGGTGTAGATCGATTGTGCAAAGCCCTTGAAAAAGTTCCTGAAGGGAACCTTGACACTTGAATACCCCTCAAAATGGCCAAAATGTCATACTATTTATGGGTCTACAAACGAGTCACGCCACAGCGTATACGAACAAGCTACAAACAAAACTCCATCAAGCCAACATTGCGTCACCTTAGAAGAGTTCCTGGAGCAGTACTGCTTAGTCACGCCAATATCACAACAGACCATGGCCATCACCCTCTGACGCCAAAAATGATCGTCTTGAAAAGTGCCAATTTACAACCGCTGCCAAAACAGCCAGCTACGTCCTCAATTTGTAAGAACTATACACGGGCAGATAGTAGAACACCTCTTCTAGCGCTGCGGACATGTCCCCATCTTCCTTTTGGGGTTTTCTGGAAATAAACGTTTTTGAATTTTTCCACTCGACCATTCTGAAATACGGCCACAGTCATACCTGCGCAGGAAAGATCGCCCCTCCGCGATGTTTCCTCAGCAGTTTCTAACACTACTCCCAACGCTGCAGAATAAAGTGTATTGTTGACTCTGACAAGGAAAACCAGCGGTGATCATTTGTCACTCCAAACGACAAGCTTCTCCTTGTGCCACCGACAATTTTTGGTGCGATCGTTGATGTAAAAGTGACTGAAGTCCTGAGCGCAGGTTTTGAATTTTATTGCAAGAGTTTCGTGTCAAAACACTCCATCAGACAGCATATGACCAAGATGAACAATCACTAGAATATGTACGGAGAAGGGGAGAAGGGGGCAAAGGCGATGGAGGTACATTTCAATAGCGCGAGGGAAAGGGATGACAAAGTCAGCGTGATTATAAGAGGAAAAAGATGTTGAGAGTATAGAGCATAGCCAGTCAGGGTAGAGAAACAGCGCGATTTTCTGGCAACACATCAGTACAGATTTGTGCTGCATTGTTTGTTTGAATTTGAATTCTTTATTCTCACGATGGCACCATCGCCAATAAGAGATAAATTTATGAGAAGGTGAGATTGTGGGTTAAAAAATTGTTATACATCACATTGTGACCTAGGGTGGCAAAAAAGGTGATGGGGATTGTGCTGCAGGAATCACTCACGCCAGGCAAGGGGGTGACTACCACACCCGCCAAGGCATAGGAAAACCGGTCACAGAAGCCAAGACCCGCAAAAGCGCCTGAGCCATGAGCCCTGGGGAGTGCTCACCATTCCCGCGCCCCGCGGAACCCAGCCCTGACCGCCACCTCCCCGGCCCCGATGGGCAAAACAAATACAAATACAAATACAATGCAGCACAAATCTGTACTGATGTGTTGCCAGAAAATCTCGCTGTTTCTCTACCCTGACTGGCTATGCTCTATACTCTCAACATCTTTTCCTCTTATAATCACGCTGATTTTGTCATCCCTTTTCCCTGTTTGATTCATTGCTGTGTAATATTTGTATTACTTGCTCTGCCCAGTGGACCGACGGTACTGACGTTCCACATCTAACAGGCTAACAGCTGTTGGAGTGCGCATCCAAGATGTGCTAGAGCTGTTAGCCAGTTAGTTGTGGAACGTCAGTAATGTCGGTCAGTGTCGTGCAATGTTATCGCATGAGCTGATTGTTTAGTAACTGGTGGTGTTAGTGGACAGTATAGCGTAACTTGTAGTTCCTTGGTCTTTCTCTTTTGTATTATACTACAATAGTATTCATTTCTTCTTATAAACAATTTTAAAACCAGTTTAGGTATGCTATGTCATGATGAATCTATTGCCCTCATAATCGGTCAATAATATATGAAATATAGACCTCGTAAAAGACCTCGGGATCTCGGTCTTTTACTCGTTCTATATTTCATATATTGACCTCTTTAATCGTGCAATAATAGACACATATATGGAAACGAGTTAAGAGTAACTCTCCACCGCTGTAACTAGATACTATTATACAGTTAGAAAGTGCAACAACTAGGCACAAAACTGACAGAGTACTGAGACATTCGACGTCCTGACACCTACCTCCAACACATCTCCATAGCGCCTACCGACAGCCTTCCAACTTGGAAGGTTCAAGGTTATGGAAAGACCAAAGAGGGGAAGGCAAGCGCAACGAAAACGAGCACAAGCTACAGTCCCAACGGAACAAAGAATGTCGATTGTTACTGGACGATGACGAGACCAGTAGGCGATTTGACAAAGCGGTCTAACTACAATTCGAAGCAGCAAAGCAGTACACCACCCACCTTTGGTGGGTCATAAATATCAAAGATAAGTAAAGAAGGGGAAAGCTTTGCGAAAACGAATTCTATAAGCCGAAAGCCTAACTCCTACAGTACTCCATATGCATGCATGATCCTTCCAAGTTGGAAGGCTATCGGTTAGCGATACGGAGATGTGTTGAAGCTAGGTGTCAGGACGTTGAATGTCTCAGTACTCTGTCAGTTTTGTGCCTAGTTGTTGCACTTTCTGACTGTATAATAGTATCTAGTTACAGTGGTGGAGAGTTACTCTTAACTCGTTTGCATATGTCCTTTTCTTTTCTACTTTTATTATTGGCTCAATACCCGAGTTATATATGTATATATATATATATATATATACACACAACAACAAGGTTGTCAGTTTCATAACACTAAAAGCTTTTCACCCATTTTCATCAGTAGGTACATGGGAATGAGCAAGAACGAAAACGAAGCCAGAATTTATACTGGGGGTAGAGAATCAGCAAGAATATTCTTACGCGCCTCAAGTTCACACTACACTACCATAAGAATGTTTGGAGCAGTGGAAAAATGCGGGAAACAACACATGAAGGGAATGCAGTACCAGAACAAACACGTGATAAAGTTGTCAGTCCAGTTGCAGCTTGAACAGCCTATATATATATATATGCCTTGCTTAGCAAAGCATACTGGATGCCTGTACTACAGCAGAGCCAGTATGCGCTATTTGGCTAAGTCACACCTGAATACTTGCTCAGCTGGTATCTAGTGCTGTGCCGGCATTTGGCGATGAGGTCACACCTTGTGTTCAGGAGGGTTGCTTTGTCGGCCGTGATAATTTCTAGCTTCTCTGTTAGACAGAGGTTACAGCGCTTAGTTGTTGGGCTGTACGACTTGGCTCTGCGCTTGACGTTCCATGACACGTTGTACTCTTGACCCTGGTTTTTGAGCGACCAAACGTAGCTTGACAGCTCGGTGGAGTTGCGGTATTTTTCGTGCCGCATGGAGGTCTTGTGATTGGCGTGACGAAGTTTGAAGGGCGTCTCAGCCGAACCAATGTAGTACTTAGGGTCGTTTGCGCCGCCCACGACTGCTTCGTACACGACACAATCGGTCTGGCATGCTCCACGCAGCGGGCAGTTGGCCTTGTCACGGCAGTTGCACGGCTTTTCTGGAGGGGTGGGGTGCAGCTTAGCTTGGTTGTGTCCCTTGATGATGGCAGAGACGTTCGGGAGGCAGCTGTAGCTAATCTTGATTGAGTTCTTGTTGAAGATTTTGCCGAGGGGGGAACCTGCAGGGAAATGTCGCTTGATGAGTTTTAGGAAGACTGCCCCAACATTTGTCTTGACATTTTTGCTGTATGGTGGGTTGAACCATATGATGTTTCTCTTTCTCTTCTTTCTCTTCTTCTCCTCGGCCCGTGCCATGCCTTCACCTTCATCAGCGCGGTACTGCATGGCCGGCAGGAATCCACTTTTGGAAAGTGCGGCTGCGTATATTGGTTTGGCCTCTTCAAATATGTCCTCACTGGCCGAGATTGATGTCAGGCGCTTGTTGATCGACTTTGGTAAGTTTTTGATGATTGTTGGCGGGTGGTTGGAGGCCATGTTGAGATACAGGGGAGTGTCGCCGGGTTTCCTGTATGGCTTGTAGGTTCCTGTTTTTAGATCCAGCGTTACGTCTAGGAAGTTTGTTGTCTTGATGTTGGTGTCAATTGTTATTCTAAGGCCAAAAGACTTGAACAGGCTGACAATGTTCTTTCTTGTGCGATCTGCGACACTGCCGGATGCACCCTTCAGTGTGGCGAGGCCATCGTCTCGGTATAGGCCAATAGACGCCGGATCCACAAAAGCAGCAAGCTTCGTGAGGAGGAAAGCACCCACAAGCTGGCAGACCTCAGCTCCGTCAAAGGATCCCATCGTCACATCAAAAGCTCCCCCGCTGCTTCTCTTCACCCACGTGTTCTGTCCGTCGAACAGTAGCGACCTTCGCGCGTGCAGTACCATATCAACTTCTTGCTGGCTGATGTTGGAATACTGCTTTGCGAATTCGATGGCACTTGTCAAGAGCTGCTCCGTGATTGATGGGTAGTACTCTACAATGTCGAAAACCACGAAG